AGTTCACGAGTGCGGAAATATTGGAGGACCAATAAAAACCTTTTGGAGCTATCTTGGGTTACGCCTCCCCTACTTCCCGTGGGCGCCATCTTCATCCTCCACCCATAGGCACCATGTGGCTCACAGATAATGTTTGCTCCTAAAAATGGGCCCAGCACAGGCAGCCTACTGATCACTTGACTGCATTGACACAAGGAGAGTCATGAGTGGAGCCCAGGGAAAGAGGTGAGCAAGCACAGACCTGCAACCCAGTGCCCAGCTCATGGGGGAATCTGGCTGCCCTCAAGTAGTGCACCTGGGGGTGGGAGGTACATGCACAGCCCACATAACAACCTTGATCTGGGAGACACACATGAAGAACCTCTGGAGAGTGCAGAAACCCAGGATACACAAAGTAGAGTAAGGAAGAAAATTCCCAACCACCACCAACCCATTCCCCAACTGGGGGAAGAAAGGAGGAACCTCTACCTGTAGGAAAGAGGAAAGAGAAACTGCCCAGCATCACCCATTCAATCTGAAAAGCTCTAGTATATCCCAGTGCACCCATCAGGGGCACAGGACACTGGCCAGGGTGCCAACAAGCCCACTCAGGGTTACCTACCCTACCAAAAGAGTGGCAGGGAACCCTGGTGCTTCTATCAGTAACTCGAGAGCTCCCCCATGTCCTTGATGACCCAACACAGTGTCACTAACCTCAGCAAGAAATCACTAAGTGCCCCACTGCCTAAGCCACAGAAGCACTCACATTCAACTCCAACACTGAATATAACTGAAGCACCCACTCTGAGATCACACTACTGTGTCTACCTGGAATCAAAACTAAAACACCCTACTCAACAGTCAATATAAAACACATCTACTGGAGAAAGTTTTTGTCCTCAAAGTCCACTCCAGAGTAATAGAAGAAGCGACTGCTCTACCATACCAGATGACTGGACATTAATTTAGAGATACTAACACTATGAAAAAAAAGAAAATATGACACCATTATAGTAATACAATAATTCTCAAGCATCAGATGCCATTGAATAGGAAACCCATGAAATGAATGAAAAATAATTCATGTGTTGGATACTTGATCCCCAATGCAACAGTGTTGGGAGTTTGGTCCTAATCAGAGGTGCTTGGCCATGAGGGTAGAGTGAATGGATTAATTAATGACATTGTTGCAGGAGTGGATTCATTATCACAGGAGTGGGTTCATTATAAAAGGGACCCCTTCTTTCTCTCTCTCTTTCCCTCCATTTACCCTTCCACATTCTACTATGGGATGATGCAGCAAAAAGGCCCTGACCAGATGCTGGCACCTTGATCTTGGACTTTCCAGCCTCCAAAAATGTGAGGAAATAAATTTCTGTTCTTAATAAATTACCCAGTCTCGGGTACTCTGTATGACAGCACAAACCAGACTAAGACACTTATGTGATATTTTTATGTGATATTTCAGGGAGCTCCTGGTCCCCTGAATTCCGTTTATAAGATGTATAAGACTTAGCTTAAAAATCCCTATTTCATATCATATTTCTTTCCATGTTTTCCAGTGTTGAAGGTGAGGCCTAGCCTCTCCTTACTACTTATATCAAAAATGGGGAAAAGAAATAAATCGAAGGAGTTGTTAAGCAAAAAGGAACAAGAACTTGAAGATCCAGAAAATTCTAACTCTATCTATATTATAAAATATTAGAAAGCTTGTTCTGGAAAGAACATCAAGGATGTGGCTGGACAATCTCTTCATAAGGAGATGCCCCATGGAGTTTAACCAGTCATCTCTTCAGAAACAAGGAATAGAAAAGGGATTATACCAGCAAACACACTGCCAGTTTGAACTAAGGAGAAAGAGAAAACAGGATGAAAAGAGGAGAAGCTGTTAGACTTCTGGGATTCTGCAGGATGGGACAGTAGAGTTATTTAGCTTTGAACATAAACATGCATTATCATTGAAGAAAAGGGAATCATGAACCCAAAGGTGATTCAAAGATAATCAAGGCTGCCACTCCCACCAGAGGCCCAGGGGGCAAGGCTATTTCCTCCTCAGTTTCAGAGGGTGAGCCCACCTTCTTGGTTTCAGCAAGCAAGGTTACCCTGTAAGGAGCCACATGCCCCCACCCCCAACAGCCTCATGGGTGGCATCATTGCAAAGAGTTACTGGGCGAGGCCTCCATACAGAGACAAGGGGGTGAGACGACCACCTAAGGCTATATGAGTGATACTATTGCCACTGAACTTAGAAGGCAAAGAATTTAACCAAAGAATATTCTCAAGCCTTAAGATTTAATGAAATTTTCCCTGCTAAGCTTTGGATTTACTTGGAGATTCATCACCCTTTCATCCTTTACTATTTTTCCCTTTTGGAATGGGAATGCCTATCCTATGCTTGTCTCATCATTGTATTTTGGAAGCACAGAACTTGTTTGGTGTCACAGGTTTATAGCTGGAGAGGAATTTTGCTTCAGGTAAAATCATACCTTAAGTTTTACCCATACCTGGTTTCAGTAATATTTAGATCAGACTTACAGTTGACGCTGAAATGGATTAAGGCTCTTGGAGTTCTTGGGATGGGGTATTTTACATGTGAGAAGGACACGAAAGTTTGCGGGGTCAAAGGGTGGAATGTTATGGATAGAAATGTGTCTCTTCCAAATTCAGATATTGAAGCCCTTGCCCCCAATGAGACTGTATTTGGAGATAATCCCTTTAGAGAGGTAGTTAAGGTTTTTAAGGGTAGAATCCTATCTGATAAGGGCTGATGTCCTGATATAAAAAAGGAAGAGACACCAGATCTCTCTATCTCTCTGTCTATCCATGTTTCAAAAAAAATGAGAAAGCTTGTTTAGGAAATACTACTTTAAGCCATTCATTCATTGTTTTTGTTTTTGTTTTTTTCCTAACAGAAATGATCAAGTGCCTTTTATGTTGCATGAATCTTATGTCTTTACCACTAAATCCATATTGTCAATCTACTGTCATCTAAGACTTTGTTACTGTCATTCCTTCTAATCTTCCACTTATGGGCCTGTAAAAGGAGTTCTTAATGGTAGATTTCAAGCCACATGTTAATGATTCTTTAACATAAAAGATTGATCATCTAAACACATCATATTTATTTGCAGGTAATACAAATCATTCAAATCCAATCCACTCTGTTATTTGCCTCACTAGAAAATGTTAGCATTTTAATTCAGTACCCTCATGTGAAGCCCAAAACTTAGATCTAGACAGTCAATCCCAGGCTGCTCAAGGTATCACAATCATCTGCTTAATTTTTCTACTTACTATATTTTCAGTTTTGTTGTCTACAGATGTTTAAAATGATTACTATTCGTTTCCTTATGTTTTCACTTGCCTGAAATCAAAGGACTAATAGTACTGGGAGAAGCAGTGGTGCATGTTTAACATGTAAAACTCAGATCAATTTTTGCAAAGACTGATTAATGCTTCTGAGTAGCCCTGCTCAAAGGGAGATCCTCACCCTTCTATTTGCCATCTCTCACCTTTTATAAATTCCTAAGGTGTAGAAGGCCAATGGGTTAATCTTGAACCTGGAAAGTACCTGGAAAAAGCCTTTAATTTCTTCCCCTTTCTTGAGCAGAATGTTCCTCAGATAAATGAAAAAATAATTTTTAAAATTTTATCCACATCGATATTTATCAGTCACCACTATCAGAACATCCTCCTCTCTTTCCTCTTTCTATCCTAAAGACATTTATGAATCATTCTTTTGACTAGAGGACTTACTGAAGGGCTTTGATTAGATGGATGAGTAAGCAAAGTGGACTGTAATTTGCTGATCACTGCTGACTAGGGCCACTATGGTGCAATGTGGGCATAGCAGATGGCTTTATCTGATTATAGAGCATATGCAAAGTATTTCTGTTCACATTCATTCTTAAGAGGAATAATTAGCTTGTTGCATCTTCGAACCTGAGATCATTAGTCTGAGATTTAAAAACGTACTACTATTTCATGCAAGGTACTTTGAGGAATAAACCAAATTATTAACTCAGACTCTGTATACGCATATCTTAAAAGTTACTTGGGGAGACAGCATACATAGACATAACATAACTAACATTGTCAAACACATGCAGTGTAGGTAAATAAGAGAAGCAGATAAGTAGTGTAGGAAAAAAGTGATACATATGTGTTGGCAAGGCCTGTGAGAAATGTACAAAGTTCAATATTTAAATATAGAAATATGTTTCTATAAGTTTGATATATCTCACATATGCATTCTAGAGTAATACTGGGTTTTATGTAATTTAAATTTTGTGACCGTAAGGTATTCTTCTTTTGTAAACATATCTAATATGGTTAAATATAAGTATGTGAGTTTGTAAAGGAATAAAAAAATTTCTAATTAAAAATATAAAGACCAAAATAAATTGACTTCTATTGATTTGTTTACAATGTTTACAGAACAAAAGAATTCTGAATTAAATATAGTAATTTCAGGGATGTTAAGAAAAACGTGAACAAACAAGTGATGCTCAAAAGCAAATTCTACCAGCATTAAACGTTTCAAACTAAATTACTCATGTTTTCCATCTTTATGAAAGGATTCACTTTATTTCTTTCTTTATTTCTGAAATAACATAGAAACACCTAGACTTTCTTTAAGTTTAAAAGAATACTGATTCTATCTATATGTATTAGTCCGTTTCTGTTCCTTATAACAAAATACTTGGAACTGGGTAATTTATAAAGAAAACAAAATTTATTGCTTACAGTTTCAGAGGCTGAGAAGTCCAAAGCCCGGAGAACACATCTAATGAGGGTCTTGCTGGTGGTAAGAGTGACCCAGAGGTCTCATGTGGCAGGAAATGGCAGAGCAGAGAGAGGGACAGACTCTTCATGGTCTCCTTTTAAAGCCCTCAGAACCGCATCCCTATCCACCATTATTAATTCATTCACTATAGCCTTGTCCTGTAATCTCATCACCTCTTCAAGGCCCACCCCCTTTCAACCCTCAACAGTTAACAGTAGGGATTAAGCCTCAATGAGGTTGGGGGGCATCCAATCTACAGCACCATGAAAGCTAAGAAATGCCACAAATTAAAAATCATTCCCCTTGTATGTGGTTATTTGTGGACCATTCTATGCTACATTGACTAATAACTAGAGTATGTTTATATTATAACTTTTTTGCACTGAGGTAAAATAATGTCTTCAGTAATTAAACTATTAGTAATTAGTACTATTATGAACTTAAAACTAATGAGATAGTCTATAAAATAGATGTATATTTGAGATTTAACATTTGTTAAATTCATTTTGAGCCATTTACTTATTTTTCACCATCAAAAATATGTTCCTTAAGGAATTTGAACAATCTGGGATGATTAATTGGCAAACTCATTGTGACTAGAATTTTTATGACACAATATGTTTGTCTTACAGGTTCTTCAGCAATACAGTCCCCTCATATGGTTGTATATGCTACCTTTACACCTCTCTATTTGTTTGAAAACAAGATCTTTTCATTAGCGAAGATGGTAAGCATTAAAGACCAGGAAACATAATATCATTTATGGGGTGTGTGTGTTTGTGTGTGTGTGTGTGTGTGTGTGTGTGTGTGTGTGATTATGATTACTTCTGTGGTAGAAGGTACATCAGAATTTAATTAAAGTTCTATACCTGGATTTCAGTTTCCTTGCACTCAATATTATCTTAGATGATTGCAATCATTCTATCTAATTATAAAAAAGAAAAAAATACATATAACCACATTTTATTTTTATAGATCCTTTTATTATATACAAAAGAAAAGATATAGAATTTACACTGTTAAATGAAAATTATGTAAATTATTTCTGGATAATAATTAATGACCTTCCTATAAATAGATCACACCTGTTTTCTTAACATAAGATGATTTAAATGAATTCACACTGAGGCTGGAGAACCACCACTATGACCTTCCTTGTATTATAAAATAATGCAAAATAAATGCTAATTGTTTTTCTTATACATTTAATAAATTATAGAAAATGTAATCAAAGGGAATACAATTAAAATATTCTTAGTATAAATGCCTAGGCATAGGCAGTGTTAAAATTTTGGCCTATATCCTTCAATTTTTTTTCTATGCATGTATTCTATGCATGTGTGTACTTTTTCTACAAAGTGGAATTGTACTTTATGATGTGTTTGGAAGCCAGCTTTTCATTTAACAATATGTTATTATTATTTTCTCATGCTGTTAAGTTTTGTCAATATAATGTTTAATGGCTGCATAGTATTTATGCATTTCCATAATTTTTTAAAATTATCTTTTGTTCTTAGAAAAACAATTTTTCTCCTTCCCTTATTATGGTAAAGTCCATTAGATTACTATACAATCTATTTAGACAAATGTTCTATTGCCTTTAGGGGTTATCAGATGCTAAACCTGTGTGGGACTTTAGACATCTAGCACTTTATTGCTTGGATTCCGTATGTCTTGCAGTCTCTACGTTAAATTATAAGACTAGATGGTGCAGTGAGTGATATAGTTACATACAAATATTCATTTGGATAGTTAGAAAGAGCTGAGTTTTAGACTGAATGAAAATTAGCTTGAAATGTAAATATTCTAATTGGATGATTATTATACTTTACTATGTGCTTTACTTGTGCCTTTTAGATTATGCCTAGGGGCATAATTGTTATTTTTACTCTTCTTCTTTTTCTTCTTTTTTCCTTCCTTATCCTCCTCTTTTTTAGATAGAAACCATTTCTTCCTACAAAAATCTACCATATAACAGTGGTAACATTGTAAAGACAATAGGACATAAGGTGCCATCATAAATATAGGGATAGTGGCAGTTTCTCTATTTTTAATCCAAAATTCAATTGCGTTAGTCATGATCAAATAGGAGAAACAGCAGTTTAGACCGAATCTTAAAATCAGTAACATTCAGCAATCCAAGTGTGCTTCCAAAGCCTCTACCAGATTGAGCTTCTTGTTGAAATTAGGGCTGGCCACTCATCCCTGATTTTTTTTTTAAACCTCTTTACATGCCACTGGCATAGTTGTAACCTCATATATTCTAGAAAATAAAGACTCTAACTCCTTTGACTATTAAAGAACACCAGTCATGCTTTGTGGAGTGTCATGGTCTCACTATCTTGCCTGCTGCTTTTTTTAGGTTAGCTGTCTTCATGGTGATCGAGATTTAACATTCGTTAAATTCATTTTGTAAATGAATACTGTATCAGAATATAATAGGGATATAAAGTTTTAACGATAAACCTGTAGAAAAAAATTCTGTCTTAATGAAATTGTGTTAAATGGATTACATTGCTAAAAGTTATAGCCCCAAAGACAATGAGATCAACAAATAAAATAAAGTTGACACATTTGTTTAAAGAAGTGGTGAAGAATACAAGAAAATCAAGAACAAAACTTGAGAAGGAGCAAGATCTTATAAATTACCTTGCAATATCCAACAGCTTCCTTCTCCTAGGTATTCTAAATGGTTTTAGTTTAATTTAGATGGGTGATCTGGAAGTTTTAAAAAAGCCTCCCCCACCTGCCCAAATCCGCACTCTTGCTTATTTTAGAATGTTTAAATGGAACGGGGCGAAAAGAGTGAAGGGGGTCTTAGGAAAGGAAACTTCTAATTTAAGTCTTACACATGAATTATTCAACAAACATGTATTGAGTACCTACTCAATGTTTCAGGCACTATTCTAAATCCTTCTCTGCCCCTAATTCTTACTCAAGGAACTTTGAGATCCTTCAACAAAGTTTCTTAGCATCAAACTATAACTATTATGAATAGAATTACTTTACATAATCAGAAGTATTGCATAGTATGCTGAAAATAATATGGGGAATTGTCTTATGTAAATTTCTGATGCTTAAGTAGAATTAGTACTTTGGCAGATTATTCAACGTATAAATAGATGTTAATACAATACTTTGTTATTTGGACAAGTACTTTACATGTTCAAAATGCTTTAAATTGTTTTATTTTATAATGATCTATAGTTCAAAAAAGAAAGTCTTTTTAGACTAAAATGTTGGTTGCAAACATAAGGAGAAATTAACATATGTAGACTAGAAATTATGACTGGTAAAATCTCTGGTTCAAAATGCTTTAAATTGTTTTATTTTATAATGATCTATAGTTCAAAAAAGAAAGTCTTTTTAGACTAAAATGTTCGTTGCAAACATAAGGAGAAATTAACATATGTAGACTAGAAATTATGACTGGTAAAATCTCTGGAACTTATTCCACTTATAAATATTACTTTGAGTTTGACTTCTATTTTGGATATTATTTAAATGTTAACTTTTACACTAATGCCCCTTTAAAAAATATTATGCAGAGGAATTGTGTTATTGAATAACCTCAAATTTTCCCATAAGTTTTCATTGAATAGATTACTTTCAAATGTTGACTTGACTCCTGGAAACTTCTAAAACTTGAAGTTAAAGTTAGGTTAAACTTGTAGAAAAAGGATTTAGACTTGAGATCATCTATGAAAAAGTCTTTTAAAGCCATTCTAATATGTAATTCCAGAAGTTTCTGCATGTTTTTTAGTGAATTGCTAAAATCTACAAAAAGGATAAAATGATGGTTTCCTTTACTTAATTAGGTCACTTTTTAAAACTGTTGAATGACTTTTTATTTTGAATACTTATGACGCTTTTAATGGCTCTGCTGGACTCACTGTGCACTGATTAACTCCTTGCAATGATTTCTGGGAACTCAGGAAAAACTGTCCTATCTCACAGGTAGTGCCACCTATTTTGTGCTACAGAGAAGTACAGATTGAGCTGTAGGTATAGACTGAGTATAGAAGTAGAATCATGAGAGCAATGCAGTTGCCAGTTGAAGCAAAAATGTGAAATAGGCTGATAGGTGGGTTTCTGGTCCTAATTTAAATGACTTTTAAAAATTTACCACCTCAATTGTTATTATTGCATAGAAATCAATGATGCCAAATCACTAGGAAGAAAAATAGTTACTGACAAAAGTGACTTTAGTGTAGTCAATATTTTATTTTATTTTACTGTAAATGTTAAAGTAAGGTGTAAAAGTCAGAATTTGGCTACATTATTAAAGGAAACCAAAAATAGTATATATCACTTTAACTTTCGCATATTTTTTTTTCAATTTCTTATGGCATATTTCAGTCATCAGTAACTGAAGTTCTGCTTAAATGTTATTTTCAATTATTCCAAAGCAGAATGGCTTCAGGAGATGTGAAAGTTGGAATATGGGAAGTATTTGCCTGGGCAATACTCAGTTTGACAGGACACAGAACAGCCTCTATCCCCTGCACTTCTGTGAATGCATCCATTGTCATGAGTAATCACGGGGATTTCCTGTGGGGGAACTCACTGGTAGAGGGTGAGGGCATAATCTGTAGATAAGGCAACCTCTTACCACCTTATTGACCTGAACACACTTAGGACAGTGGATTTTTTGAACACTAGGTAGAAGTAGCTAGAATTTTAAAAGAGCAACGACAGCAAAAGCACGTTACATCTTAAGCAATAATGTTAAAACTTTAACCTTTAAAAAATTGGCTGATAATTTTGAACCTAAACTGATATGCTAAGGTTTTTGTAATCTCATAGAGTCTTAAGCTTTTAGAACTGAAAAGTGTCTTCTAGTTCTAATCTCTCATTTTGTAGATAAGAAAATGGGGCTCCAGAAAAATGGAAAAAAAAAAAAAAAAATCTGTATCAGTCAGAGTCTGAGGCAAAAAAAAACCACTCCAGGTATTTCAATCAGAGACAATGTAACATGGGAGTTGATTATATAGGAAATCGAACTGCTGAGAAGCCAGCAAAGTGAAGACAAGGTAGCCCAGAGATCAGCCAAGCAGAAAGCTGTTTTTACCCCTGGAGCTGGTGGGACAAGGGGAGGAGGTGGTGTGAAGAGTCCGGAGACCAGGGCCATCCCGTGGAGACTGGAACCAGAGTCAAGTCGGGGGCTGCCCGGTGGGGGCTGGGTCGGTGAAGGGAGGAGCCGGCTGCTGGGTGTTGTGGTCACGGAGGAGATGCAGGTGCTGCTGCAGAAGTGACACAAGGCAGAGGAAGAGGAGGGGAAATACACTGGCTGCTTTTGCCTTCACGCTGCAAGTTCCCTGGTGTCTCCATTGGCTGGACCCAGCCAGAAGCCAGCAGGTATGGGACCCCGATTCAGCTTGATAGGGGCCAACCCCTCGCCCCAGCCCGCCAGGAGACAGAGTGGAAAGCGGGGAGAGATCTGAGGGCACCCAGGCGAACAGCACAGCGCCCCAATTGGCATCAGTCCTTGATTCTCCTCTTGTGAATCAGGCCTGCCTCTCAGCTCCTCCAGTGTGCAACTGAATGTGGGATCATGCTCCTGCTTTCTTGTATAACTTTATCTCCTCCCTCTTCCTTTTCATGTCATTCTATTGACTTCCTCTTAATCTGTTCTGTTTTTAATGGATCATAGAGGCTTGTCTTCTGGCACTCCATAGAGGACAGCACATAATTTCTGAGATCTTCTTCTGGATCTTATGATGAGAGATATGGGTTTTCTCTCTGTTTTCTGGGTGCTATCCCATATTTCTTGTTTTGTCTTTTTCCTCTCATGAAAACATTAATTTTTCTCTTTATTCATCTTTGATGAAGGTGAGAACCAGACATAGAGTTTGTCCCTGTGCAGGGGGAGTCCGTGGTGCTGCTCTCTGCGCATGGGGGAGACTTTGGGGGGCCCAGAGGAGGGAGGCTGGCCTGGTGGGCCTGGGTTCTGGCCTGGAGGCCTCCCCCTGCCACCCTCCTTCAGCCTCCGGTTTCCACCCCTGCACTTGACCTTGACCCCACTCCTCAAGTGCACTGCATGTCCACAAGCATCCCCCACTTGTGGCCAGCTTTGCTGGGTCATGTCTGCAGGACTGCCTGAGACCTGGTGGCACTGCAGCACAGGAACACTGGGGCTTCCCCGATTCAGATACCAGGAACCTTGCGAGTGCTGTGGATGACCACTCCCTCCCTCCCTCCCTCCCTCCCTCCCTGTCCTTTATTGTCTTTCCTGAACCAAAGATCATCATCCAAATGACACTTGAAAGAAAATTTTTTACTTTTAAATTCTCTATTTTAGTTAAATGCATTGAGCCACTTAAAACAGTTGCTAATTCAGAGTATCAAGTAATGAGAGGAATAGTATTGAGCTATCTTCTAATTTTGTTTCGATTGTTGGTGTAAATCTATTTAACTACTTTTTTTGTAAACTGGGGATGAAAATCTATTGGTGAAATTCCTTAATGGTGGTATCCCACCTAGAGGCTCATGACACAATTGCCTTTCTTCTCTATTGGGTTGAGCATTTAAAGTAAAAATTAACAGGAAATGGGGAGGAGAATAGCATAGAACAATCAGAGAAAATTTATGTATACCATGTCATAGCCTCCCTTTTTTCCCTAATAATCACCCCTAATGTTTCTTTCAGTGTTCACCCTGGTAATGTATGTGCTGTGTCTCTTATCTGTTGAGAATTTCTTACCTCTAGATCAGCTTCAGATTCCTTTAGGAGTATCCACAAATCCGCTATTGGCCTGCTGCTTTCTTTTCTACTCGTGACCTTTACTTTGTTATATATTCTGTTCTTTCACTACTATCTCTGTGTATTAGTTCACATTTCCTCTTCATGTCCTCAGCCATTGTGTGGTAGAGGTTAACTAAGGGAACACATTTTTTTGCTAAAAGACTTTTAAAGAAAGTAATTTCTGTACTTGAAATAGCAGCAAATGCTAAGCAATAACTCCGTTAGACATTGTTAACTTTCTCCCTTGAGATGCAATTGGTTCACTTTTCACATTGTAATTTGGAAAGCAACTAAGAAGCAGAAAAAAGATATCTAATATTGACAAGGTCTATAAACAATTTCAATGGGAAACCTTATGTATCTTTGTACATTCCTATTTAACTCCTTTGAAATTTGCTGGGTAAATAGTTAATCTAATCAGTACTATATTACATGTCAAGTTCTCATGCAACTCTGAAAGATTTTTAAAAATGTACATCACGCTTCCCATCTCCTACTTCATAGATTTAATAATAAAGAAGCCTGACCAGTTTCTTGAGATTTCAAGTCCATTTTTGAATTACAGAATGACTCCATTTACAATTCCAAAAGAAACGTAAGTATATAACATTCTTTCACACAAATGCGTCCTGTTAACAAATGAAGTATTTTTGTGATGCATGTGGTTAAAAATAACACTAAATGGGAGCATTTTGAAGAGTATTAATTTAAGAATGAGGCCAAATATATATACAAACATTTTAAAGAAAATTTTCTCAACCTTTTATTAATTGTTCACTTCATTAACAAACATTTTTTGCTCACCTTTTATGTGTGAGTGTTATGAACTGAATGTTTGTGTTTCCCTCCAAATTCATATGGTAAAGCTGTAACCTTCAGTGTCGCTGTATTTGGAGATGATGTTTCCAAGGAAGTACTGAAGGTTTAATGAGGTCATAAGGTTGGAGCCCTGATCTGATAGGTTTAGTGTCCTCATGAGGAGAAACACAAGGGAGAGTCTTTTTCTCTCTCTCCCCTATGCTCACACACTATGGAAAAGCCATATGGGCACACATATAAAAGGTGACTTCTGCAAGCAAAGAAGAGAGCCCTCATAAGAATCTAACCCTGCTGGAACCCACCCTAATCTTGAACTTCCAGTCTCAGAACTGTAAGAATTTTTTTATTTTTTTTAAATTTGAGTCACCCAGCTTATGGTATTTTGTTATGGTAGTTGATGGAGTTTGGATGTGTTGTCCCCTCCAAAACTCATGTGGAAATTTGATCTCCAATGTGGCAGTGTTGGAAACTGATTGAGTCATGGGGGCAGATCCCTCCTGAATGGATTCATGCTCTGCCTGGGGGAGGGTGGATAATGAGTGAGTTCTCGCTCTATTAGTTCCCCCGAGAGCTCGTTGCTTGAAAAGACCCTGGCACCTTCTCTCTCTCTCTCTTGCTTCCTGTCGCCATGTGATCTGCTTGTACCCACCAGCTGCTTGCTGCTTTTCCACCATGAGTAGAAGCAGCCTGAAGCCCATGCCAGATGCAGCTGTCCCAGAATTGTAAGCCAAATAAACCTCCATTCTTTATAAATTACCCAGTCTCAGGTATTTCCGTTATAGCAGCACAAAATGGACTAAAACAGTAGTCTGAGCAAACTAATAGAGATTTAATACCAAGAAGTGGAGTGCTGCTATGGCAAATATCTAAAAATGTGCAAGTGGCTTTGGAACTGGGCAATAGGTAGAGTTTGAAAGAGTTTTGAGGAATATACTAAAAAAAAATCCTTCATTGCTGTGAAGGGACTGTTGGTAGATGGTTATTGTGAGAGCTCAGAAAGGAAAGAGGAGACTTAGAGAGAAAGCCTCCAGGGCTGAGCCTGTGGCGCACTCGGGAGAGTGCGGCGCTGGGAGCGCTGCAGCGCTCCCTCTGCTGGTTCGGGTCCTATATAGGGATGACCGGTGCGCTCACAGCGCTCACTGGCTGAGCGCGGTGCAGCCGGTCTCAAAAAGGACAAAAAAAAAAAAAAAAAAAAAAAAAGAGAGAGAGAGAAAACCTCCATATTAGAGAATACATAATAATGGGGCCTCTAAGGAACTAATTAATGTGAAGTAAGGTGATAAGGGTGGGGTGCAAAATGAAAAGGATTAGTGTCCTTATAAAAAGAGACATCAGAGAGTCTCTAAGTGCTCAGACTGAGGAAAGGCCGCATGAGCACATAACTTTAATTTTCTTATGGCAGCCCAAACAGACTAACACAGATACTATTGTAAAATAATATACTATATTTTACTTGAAAATAGAAAATAACACTTTGCCCCTCATAGATATCAACTTCTGGGGGAAGCTGCATGTATAAGTAAATAATTACCATAACATGCAATAACTGCCATTACAAAGGCATGTCCCAAATTCTGTGGTTGTACTTCAAAACACCTATTCTTTAGAAAGACCTAGAACCTGAATGTAGCAACCCTGGCTTCAGTGATTGTGCAGGAGGTAGAAGAACTTGCCTTCAGCGCATGGTACAGGTGGAAGTCCTGGATATCATTACTCCTCATCTTCCTAGTGGTTGTGAGCATATCCAGTGTTTGAATTCCAATACTGTCCTCATCCTCTATCACCCCTGCATAATCTTCTAATGGAAAGTTTGCACTTGAGACCAAATGGCAGCCTTGTCCTGAGGGCACATATCAGAGTCAGCTGCTGTGAAGGTGATTAGATAGCTTACCTTCCCTTGCAAACATTTCTTGCCACACTGTCCACAGCTCATGTATTTCCCTAGCCTCTGGCACCTTTAATTTAATATTCATTAAGAGGTTCTGGGTGATCACACTAATTTTGAATGATACCTTTGTTACCCTAGTGGAATTGTGGATTTTTCTGCTCTGCTGTTTTGCCATCAATTAGTTCTCATCTGTCTCTGAGAAATGTATTTCAGCTCTGATAATGGATTCCTATTTTGTCAGTTCTGTATAATTTTGCTTTTGCTTATTAATTTCTTCTGAGCCCCAATGGGATTGTAAGAGGAAGGAGAGGGATGCATTTGTATTCAGTCTGTTACCTTAAACTGACCTCTTGTTGTGATTCTCTGCCTTGTCTATATTCTCATTTGCATTTCACCTCCCATGGCTGTTCTCTCCTGTCTTTTCCTTACCTAGTTAGACCCAAAACTCAGTTTACCTTGAGTAACCACTGTTTCCTATTTCTTTCTTAAAACCAACCAACCAACAAACCCACACTGAGAAAAATACTCATCCAAATTATTTGCATAGATAGTAGATTTTTCCGAAGGTTTGATGAAAATTATTGTTAGGTTGAGAGAAGGATTATGTTTTGGCCACATTTGAGCAACTCAAATAATTAAAAGAGAATATTAGATATTCCTGCTTTGAAATCACTTAGCCACTCCCCTATTGGGGATTCCCACTGGCACCATTATCCATAGTCTCCCAAGTTTCTCACCATGTTGAATAATCTTTTTCATCTTTTGCCCTCTCTACCCTCCTCTTTGAGTCATATTCAAGAGCATGATAGCTTGCTGTTCTTGTTTTGTTCTGCCTTCTCGGACACTATGCCTTCAAAGCCTCAGCTCTTACCGTACCTTTCCTGTCTGGTGCCTAGTGTAGCCACACCTGGGGCTTCAAAGAAGCACAGCAATAAAGGGCAAGAAATGGAGCCCATAATGTAAATCAGCATCAGGCAGTGGAAGCCTCTCCTTTGAAATTGTTCTACCCCCCCCCCCCAGGCCTTTGCACTTTGGGTCTATGATGGTATGGGCAACCCTAATGTTCTCCAGATGCATTTGGGGTAATTTTTTCATTGTCTTGGACAATAGATTCTACTTTACATTAAAATGGCTAACTAATCTCCCTATTGCCTTGATGAATAGCTTCTACCTTCTGTTAAGATGGCCAATCTATACTAATCTCCATATCAAACTTGGCCATATCTTCAGTTTTCTCTCCAAAACAGCCTTTCTTATTTTTTTCCAATATGGATAGGCTGAGAATTTTCCATATCTTTAAGTTCTCCTTCCCTTTTGATTAACAATTCTATCTTTAATTCATTTCTGTCTTCTAGCATTTTACTATAAGCATTGAAGCCAAGACACACCTTCAACGCTTTTCTTAGAAACTTCCTTAGCAATGTATCCAATTTTATCTCCTACAAGTTCTTCCTTTCACAAAACACTAGAACACAAACATAATTCAGCCAAGCTCTTTGCCACTTTATAGCAAGGATGGCCTTTCCTCCATGTTCCAAATAACATATTCCTCATTTCTAACTGAGACTTCATCATAATGGCCTATACCATTCATATATTGATAAACATTCTGTTCACAACCATGTAGGTATTACCCAAGAAGAATGAGGATTTCTCCACAGCTCTCCTTTTTTCTTTTTGGGCACTCAACAAAATTACTTTTAAAGAATCATTCATGGCAATATAGGTATTTTCTAGCATGAATTTCGAAACTCTTCCAGCCTATACTCATTACCCAATTCCAAAGCTGCTTCCTCCACATTTTTTGGCAGTTGTTACAGTAGCAGCCCCCTTTCTCAGCATCAATTTTCTGTCTTAGACTGTTTATGTTGCTACAACAAAATACCATAAACTGATAGCTCATAAACAACAAAAAGTTATCTCTCACAATTTTGGAGGCTGGGAAGTCCAAGATCAAGGTGCCAGCAGATTCAATGTCTGGTGAGGACCCACTTCCTCATACACGGCACTTTCTCATTTCTTCTCACATGGTTGAAGGGGCAAATGAACTCTAGGGTCCTTTGTACATTAATCCCATTCATAAGGTCTCTGTCTTCTTGACCTAATCACCTCCCAAAGGCTCCATCTCCTAATACCATTACCTCAGAGAGTTATATTTAAATGTTCGAATTTGGGTGGACACAAACATTCAGGTCATAGTACCTCCCTTACCCCTTTATCTAGCAAGTAACATGTTTTGTCAAGGTATTTTCTAAGCAAATATAATTCTTCCCTTAAGAGGAATAATCTGTGAAACAATCAAAATAATAAATTTTAGTTCTTTATTCCCTTTCTACATGAAAAATCTTCAAATATTTGACAAAAATTATATGCTCTACTTCATTACATTTTTATTATCAGGTTTCTAGATATGTAAACTAATATTGTATTAGTTATTTTCCATTTTCATTGGGCTTTTTAGTTAAAATAGCCAAAGAATGTTTTTTTATTTTCCTATTAAAGATATGATGAATTAGGCATTTTTTACTTGGGACATAAACAACCTTAACTGATACTGAAATATAAATAAAATGCAATGTTATCATCACTGTCATTAATTTGGTCAAAATCTGTGTTATATTAACTACTTGTGATTCATGTTTTATAAATATAGTAATTAAATAATGTCTTTCCTTCTTAAGTAGAGTATACTCAAAGGCTTTTTTCCCTTGACATATCATATTAAACATTATACCGTACTGTCTTTTTTATGTCAGAGGAACTTCAAGGACTTTGAAGAACTACATTTATTATTTGAAGAACTACATTATGAATAATGGCCCAAGACTACTGCCCTTTCTTGGTTTTTTTTTTTTTTTTTTTTTGGTTTGTACTTTTTGTTTTGCTTC